CCTGGATTGGCAAGCTGGGCTTGCGGGGCAAACCTTGCTGATGACGGCCAGGGTGCGTAGGGCCTGGGCAGCGGTAGGGTTGTACTACCGCCAGGTTGAACAATCGCTCCAAGATAGCCTTGTCTGATCTGGACACGATGCTCGGGGAGACCGAGCTGCGCGACACCAAGCAGCAGTTCTGGAGGCGCTACAAAATGAGGCTCCCTCCTGAGATTCACCCCGCTGACACCACAATCTCCCGAGTGGCCAGGGAGATCCAGAAGCAGATGCTCTGTGTCTACAACATATGGAGGGTCAAAACTCTGCAGTTTCAACTCACCACCTCCCAGAAGCGCAAGCTCAGTGACGGGTTGTTCATCGAGGATGGCGAGGATGAGGAGGTTGTGGCTCACGACGTGGACAATTACCTGGATAGGCTGTTCACCCTGCTGCTGGCCTATGCGATGGCCGGGTGCGCCGGGGCGACCGGTGCGCCTGATGCAGCACAAGAGCTGAACCTTGGAGCTGACACCACCAAGTTTGTGAATGTGCCACTGCACGTATCTACTTTCCGTGCAAAGCGCAGTACCATGGTGCTGCCAATGGCCCAGCGCCTACAGTGGCTCCCATTGTGATGTCGAAGAGCGCAGTGAATGGGTGTCGAAGTTCAGGGAGTCGACAATGAGCCTTGGCCAGGTCATCTGGAAGTGTACACTTCTCGTGATGCACATTGGTCCATTCCAGGGCCGGCGACACCTGAAAAGAAGACCGTTGCGCCTACGGCCGCATCACAAAGTCCCTCAGAATACCTCCCAGTTGAAGTTAGGGAAGCCGATCAATGGGAAGCAAGCGGCTGCAGCCATGAAGCCGGTGTGCTGCAGCCATCAGGAAAGATCGAGTGTGGGGCCTTTAACCACGGTGCCACGAACTGCAACAGCAAGCGTTGACACACCCCAGAAGAGGAGGCGGCTGCCTCTTTTGGGGCAGGCGGGTTAGAGCCGCAAGAGGGGAGACCTCTTATGGCCGACCTAATGGCGGGCCCTAATGCCCCTCTCACGAAGGCGTTCATCAGCTGCGGATGGCGATGCATCACTGTGGATTGGTTGTTGGACCCCAGCCATGACCTGGCTGATGAGAGGAGGCAGCAATCCCTTAGTTGCCAGCTGGAAGAGGTGATCTTCATTGCTGCAGTTATCGACTGCTCCACCAAGAGCAGAGCCCGAGAGATCCCTAGACGTTTTGAGGATGGCCGCCCTGCACCAGGGCCATTTCGTTCAGAAGTCTACCCCGACGGGCTACCTACGCTGTCAGGACGCGATGCCAAGCGAGTTGACATCGACAGCAAAGCCTGCAACTACGCTCTCAAGGAGATCCAAAAGCTGCGGGGCCGTGGTGGGGGGAGTGTCCGCGAGAACCCAGCCCGATCACTCCGCTGCATGGTGGACATCCGCAGAGGTGGCTATGTGGAACTCAGGGCAATCAATGGACACCTCATACTCGCGGCCTGTACGTTAAGCGGTGCCCGTTGCAAGCATCAGGTGCTCCGACACAATTTGGAAGAAATCCAGCAATGGCCGTTCAATGGCCTACAGCCAATTGTCACCACGTACACGACCCCCAGGAGTGGACCCCTTACACCAGCGATGGTTACGGTTAGAGAGTGTACCCATCCAAAGAAAAGGCCGAATACACCGCAGTGCTGGCCTTCGCCATTGCAGTGTCCGCCAGCTGTTGGGCCGCTAGAACGGGCCTAGCAAACTTGGCCGTTCCGAGGATGCCAGCATTCATCTCAGTGGGGCGCCGGGAGCATTGGCTCGACATGGATCCCAGATCCATGAGGGAATGACAAATGGTCCCTTTGGCAGTGACCTTCGGCTTGACAGAGGAGTTGCGGGCTGGCCGACCGGGGTTACAAGTCACGAAGCTCACCACCGACGTCATGATCAACAAGGATACTTCTGTCAGGCAAAGCAGTGTATGTCGGGTGGCGGAGTTTTCACCATCGCCTGTCGACTACAAAGTGGAGGTCTGCTTGGACACCAGGCCACAACTGCGAAGCCGGTGAATGGCCCGCCAGGTACATCGTGCACATCAGGACGTCCGCCCTCTGGGATGCGTTGCCAGAGTTGTCAGGGCTTTCCCTTGTGTGCGACTGCCCCCTGGACCAAATCTGCGAGGCCGACATCTTGATTGGGCTCTACTTCGACGCCACATCACCGGTAAGTGACCCAAGACATCGAGGCACCGATAGGAAATGGAGTCGGACTTTTGCCTTGCTGCAAGGCATCCAGGCACTGCCCAACCCTTAAGGGCATGTCATCTGCTTACAGATACTGCCCCATGTCCCAGCGGGAAAGCTATAGGCTGCGTCGTCGTATGGTTTCATGACGAATGGCAAGCTCCTGCATACCAAGTCTATGCAGGCCTCTTGTTTGGGCTTCCACTGGCCATCACTTCCTTTAACAGATTTCCCTGACTGTTGGAAGCGCTGACTCGCCGGTATTGCCAAGTTTTGACATCCCTGTACTTTGATGACGCGACGATCACTGATGTCCGCCCTGCTAAGGACTCAGGACAACGGGCGATGAACCAGTTATGCCTGATGATTGGCTCCCCATTTGCGGAAGACAAAAAGCAGACAATGCAAAGTACTGGCACTTTTCTGGGACTTACCCATGACCTGAGCTGCATCAACAAGACAGGCCATGTCCGTTTTTGGGCCCGTACGAGCCTTCATGGCAAAGTTCGTGACATCCTTGCCACAGCACGTCAAACAGGCCACTTCACTCGAGGTGCAGCTTCCAAACTTTATGGACTTGCCAACTCCTTGGAGCAAGGCATCGACGGGCGAGTCGGGTATGGCAGCCTCATGGCCGTTAAGGCACGCCAAGAGGAGAATGCCACATCCATAACCCCAAAGATTGAAGCCTGCTTCGAGGTGATCGAAGCTGTGATGCGCTTTCAGCCAAAACGTGAATTTCCAGTTTTTTGTATGGAACGGCTTCGATTTTTGGCAGCATCAGATGCTGCTGTCGAAGCCGACAACCCAGGCTCAGGTGGATTCCACCTCATCTTTCTCCAACTGGACGGATCACAAACCCGTCTCAGTTTTGTGGCAACCAATTGTGCCGAGCTTCAAGCCCTTTGGCAGCCTGCGGAGACCCACATCGCGCAACTGGAGCTTTCTATGGTTCTTTATGCCCTGATTGAGCGCCCTGATCTTTTCCGCCATCGACACGGTCTTTGGTTCCTCGACAATGTTGTCGCAGTCATGACCTTAGTGAGAGGGCGTTCTAGCAATTCGGATCTGGCCAAGCTCGGCCATTTGATTCATTTAGCACTGTTCGCACTGCGTGCCCAGGGATACTGGGAGTACGTCCAGAGCAAGAGCAACGGGCCGATGATATCAGTAGATTAGGTTTCAATGACCCATGGTGGCGCTGCCATGGCTTCAGCTTTCATTCGTCGCACCTCCCCACCATCTTTTTCCATCTGCCATTCGTAGCAGTCATCCTCATCTTCGAATTCCTTTAGTGCTTTGGGTGTAGTAGTGCGTGGGGTGATACCTGCAAAAGCAGGTTCCAACCTGGGGTGAGCAGGTAGCTGACCAGAGGTGAAACTGGTCTGACGCTATGTGCGTGCCACACAGTGACCGACCAAAGCAAACCTGAGGATAGCAGGTGAAACTGACTGAACACTGGCAGGGTTTGGAAAAAGAGCTGTGAGTGTGCGCACGGTACGGAGTTTCATATGTCACTTTGAGATGTATATATATATATATAAACATTTAGATAATTGGATGTATAGATGTATAGATAGATTTATAGAGATATATTAATATACAGATATAGATATATAGCTACATATAAATGTATATATATATATATAGATTCTGGCTTTCTAGATTTTTTGATAGATAGGTAGATAGATAGGTAGACAAATAAATATATACATATATAAATATCTATAAATACCTATGTCCATAAATATATATATTTAGATCTCTTCATAATAAATAATAAAAAATAAATAAATAAATATATATATCAGTACAAATGTTTTTTTTAGACTTATAGACATATAGGTATATAGATATATAGATATGTAGATATTTAGATAGTTAGATAGATAGATACATACATAGATAGATAGTCTTGTAAGCAGATAGAAAGATAGGTAGTGAGGTAGATAGATAGATAGATAGATAGATAGATAGAGAGATAGATAGATAGATAGATAGATAGACAGGTATTTGGACAATTATACTGTTTGGATTTTTCGATAAATAGATATGTGGATTTGTGGATATGTATGCATATTAAAAAAAGGATATATATCAAGAGATATATATCAAGATATATATATATATATATCAAGAGATATATATATCAATATTTAGACATATAGAGATATTTAGATGTATGAAAATGTAGATGCAGGTATATATATATAAGATATAAAGATGTAAATGTATAGAAACTGATGTATATAGATATTGCTTTTAGACAGACAGATAGATAGATAGACAGATAGATATATATATATATTGATATAAAGATGTATAGATGTAGATACAGGCTTTGATATAGATATATTGATTCAAATACAACCATACACAAAGACATACGCATGAATCATCAGACAGAGAAAGAGATAGAGATAGAGACAGAGATAGAGATATGTCAGAGACATAAACATATTATTTAGATATATACAGTGTCATAATAAGAGGGGCGTTGCTTGTGCAGGAATGTAAAAAACATGAACAAACGCACAACAGATTTCTGCATGAAGGAACCGCGTGAGCGCTTTGAACAATGCAACATTATGTTGCTGCAATTTGTGTTGCAAGAAAACGCGGCCTCCCAATCTACAGTAAGACCTAGAAACCAATAGTGTTGATGGATTGTATTTCGAGCTGTTGTTACATGCAATTTCACAATGCATGGGCTCGAAAAACAATCCATCAACACTATTCAGTACTCCAGGGCTCCAGGCGCTGCTGACTTTTATCCACGCAGGTCCGCATACGGCTATACAGCAGACCGAAGGCAGCTTCGCATAGCAAGACTTCGCCCTTGGTGGGGAGGCCAGTTGCAGGTGTGTTGTGCGCATTGTATTCGCAGCAAACATAGCGATGTGTTTTGACACCAGGATGCCACAACTTGCCGGGGAATCGCCAATTGACAATCTCCAACTTCCGAACCTGATGCGGCAGAAAGATGCATTGCTTGTGACAGTCGGCCGTCGCAACTTGCAGCAAGGATGGCTTTCGAGAGTCAGGGCAGCTGCGGTTTGTAAGCGTGAATTTCCATACTGAAATTACAACCGAGGCATTCAACAATTTTTCCTGTGGGCTCTTCGATGGAAGCAGCGGCGGATATTGGGAAAGATGTTCTCCATGCAATCTGGCCGGCAGGATTGCGCAGTCACATGTCCGCATTTTCGCATCGGGAGCGACCAAAATCGATAGCTTGACTACGCATCCGGTATGTCCGGTGTGCTACCCAACAACATGTAGGACGCACGTTTTACTTTGATCTACAGTGGGTGGATGTGATGCTACTCTTCGCTTTAAGTCTTTGGAAACATTCCTTAAATTCTTGTGTGGAACGGTGGTGTGAGCTCACCATTTAAGTTCTTCGTAAGTACCAAGGCCGTGAAAGCAAGAGCGCAGTCCATGCAGGAAGGCGAGCGCCCGTGTCGAGGGTAGCAACGGTAGCAACGGTAGCGACACGGTAGCGACACGGTAGCGACACGGTAGCAGAGGTGATTCCACCGAATCAGAATCCTATTTGAATCGTATCAGAATACTATCTGAATTCCCAGAAACTTTGAACATCTTGGGCCTTCCGTCCCTTCTGGTCTTCCGTTCTGGCATCTATTGGCATCTAGGTGTCCTAGCTTCCGTGAAAAGTGTGCAGGAGATGACAGCTCTGTGGCGCTGAACCTCCTTGTTGAACACGGCTGCCTCGTGGAGTCCTATGGCCAGGTGACACGATGCGACACGATGCGACACGATGTGACACGATGTGACACGATGTGACACGATGTGACACGATGTGACACGTGAAACAGGAAACAGAACGTAACAGAACTGATTTTGAAATATTTCGAACTGATTCGAGTTGATTTATCTTAGGGGTAGAGAAATCCAAGAGGCTCGAGGACTGACATGTGGAGCTTGGTGCAGGTGCCGCAGGTGATTCGAACCCGAGCGGACGAATTCATAGCAGTGCCTTAGCAGCTGCAACGCACATCTTAGCATCAGTTCTGGAACAGCATATGGCCGCCTGACGCCGCCTGTGGATCACTTTCTGCGTTCGTTTTTCTCATGATTTGTGGTGATTTATCACAATTCGTTTTCATTTGTTTGTCTGCAGTCTTGTGAATGGCCCAGGAATGCTTGCAGCGCCCAGAGGGTGAACTTGATGAGGAACTTGCTGACTTTTTGAAGCACTGTCAGATAAACCCAGGACGTCCATACAAGGCTCCGGAAATCTTTGGATCCAGGTTGAATCAAGATGTGGTGATTGTATGTGATTGTGCAGATTGAAATTGTCCGAACCTTCTCGGATTTCGGAATGTGTTCCAGGCCGATCGCGTCGGACATAAACTCCTACTGCTGAAGGCACTCCGCAGCCCGGAACTGCGAGTGATGTGGCGGTCTGATGTGGAGGCATTCACCCAGCACCGGTACATCACCGAACCTCAGCTCCGGCCAGCGGGGAGGGCAAACGCACACCTACTGCAGGCTGACTTTTGGGTGCTTTTGGTTCAATATAGGCAAAGGCGTCCTTCTCCGGGTTGCATGTTTGCTGAATTGCTGAGTCGCACTAAGTCACTAAGTTTTCGAAAGGAAGTGGTGCCAAAGTAGTTGTCTACTCTGCCCAGATCGCTGTATTCTCCCGTTGTTTGACCGAGGGTTATGTTTTATTGACCCGAGTAGCGGTAGACGTGTCTGTCGGTTTCCTTTGTGCGGAGTAGAGCAGTACAAGTGTTCTGGGTGAGGTGGAGCGGGATGTATCTTAGGTTGAAATCAACTTTCACGGTTTGTTGTTCTTGATTTGGGGACTTACCCTTTTAAAGCCATGGGGAAAACATAAAGACAATGTTACCTCTCGAAGTCCATAATCTACTTGAGAAAAGGAAAGGGTAAGCGGAGCAAGCTGAAAAAATGCTGGCAACAAAGGGTGGCACAGAGTGTTGGTTTGTCGGCTGAGACCACCTGGATCCGCAAAGTTCCTCTGTACTATCTACCGGATGGCAGCTCCGACTTCACCATACTGCGAAGTCCAGGTAGCTTGTTTGCAAGTTATGTAGGTCATGCCCCAACTTCCGTTCTGGGCCACTTTCAGATTAAAATAGAAACTCAGGTGCGGAAGAATCCTCGCGATTCCGGAAAAATGTTTTTGCATACGCGGAGTCCCATGGTCTCGGACAGAGTGGGGGAGGCGGAGTCGACCGAGAAGATAGAGTCTTAGAGAAGTTCTGCTGTCCACAACGGAAGCTAAGACCAAA